CTACTAGGGGCTCCTGGCCTTACTACTAGTAACAAGAAGCTATTAGGAACAAGAAGTTTCCAAGTCAAAACCGGAGCGTTGAGGACGGCAGTCAGCGCAGAGTCACATTTCGACATTGCTAAGGTGGCACCCATACTGGGTGTGGATGCGTGACTCCCACGATCCTGACTACCCTGAGTTCTATTTGCCAAAGCCTGGCCATCCTCACTTGCACTATGAGGACACTTTTCATGCATTCCATGCCTAATGATTGATATTCTTTTGCCATGCTCCAGAAACAAGTTTAAACAAGACCATGTTGAAACGTGATCAGCCCAATTGAGCTTCTAGCACTTGTGTGACACCTGTTGTGACAGCAGTTAGAGAAAATATCATTTGCGGTGACATCCTTGCTAATACTATTTCAAGCTCCAAGGCTCCAAGTAAGCACAGCAACAACCCTAAGTTCACAACCAGCCTGATGCAAACGATGAAGGCTCAACATGTCAACTTCTCAAGCTTCAATGCACAGATTTTGACTGGACACTGTTTGGCAGAAACAGCAGGACTTCTGGGACGTGCCTCCAGGGGTATGCCCCAGGAATCTAGTACCTGCGAAGGTGGTAATATATAATATTTATTTACACAACTAATGTTGACCTCCTATTTGTAAATGGCCCGTGAATAATAGTACTAAATCTTTTCAAAAACCAATATATGGTCCTCAAATAGTACTAAATGTTTTCTGGACCTTGATTGTCTTTTCCTTTCCTTCAATCTCCTTTCCTTTCATTTCCAATTTAAATCAATATTTTCTAGGATTTTTCTGGAAATCACATTATTTGGGGCCCACACTTGATCAAGGGGGGGGTTATTAATAAGAGGCCCACATTAGAAACTAGATCCATGCATAATATACAACAAAGAGCAAAGGGCATCGCTACTAGGAGCAAGGACGCTACTAGGGGTTCCTGGCCTTACTACTAGGAACAAGAAGCTATTAGAAACAAGAATTAGAATTCGTAAAGTTTCCGAACTCTGGAGTCCTGCAAAGGTGTTGCATGGTCCCAAAGAGGGCTTCACGGACCATAGTGACCGGTTGACAAGCATGATTTGAAGACCCACGATTCATCATGGCCGCCACGGCTCAAGCCTTGGAGGACACTAAGCGCATGAACATTCCCTTCAGCACCGAGGGTGAGCCAGAATGAGGGGCAGGCACGGGACAGAGCTTTGCGATCAGAAGTGCATCATTGAGTCCCTTGAGCACTTGCTCCCTGTAAGATCTGTAATGGAGCAAGATGCTGCAGAATGAGATTACTGTTTTCAAAAAGGGGAGCGGGTAGGCCGAAGTAGGGAGTAGCTACTACTCGTAGTAAGCGCTACTACTAGCTGGGACGAAGGAAAGCTCTTGCACGTTTCATTTGGTGTCTACATTTTTGGGAAAACTTGCCCTAATGCCTTCCTATTCAATTCGCTACTATTTTAAGTTTGAACTTGTTGGAAAAAGATGGAAAAGGCAAGAGGAGGTATCAGTGAGTATGTTCTCAGAAGGATGAATTCTTGACCCTGCCAAAGGCCGCCTCGCTCGCAAAAAGCCTGAGCAAGCTGAGAGTCAGGGGCATTCCTGCCGTTGAAAAGCAATGTCATGTGAGATCTTCCGGGAACTTCCACAAAAAGAAACGGCGGGCGACCGGGACCCTGTCGATCAGCCAAGCCGGCGTGGTTGATTTTGATAAGCAGATCTTCTCATGGATCGCGAGCGCTCCAAAAGACCTTCTGCGAGCACTGTTAAGACACTGGTTGGGGATGAAGTGGTGGGGCTTGAGCTACTAGTAGCATCTCAAGTCTCAAGCAGCCACGACTAGTCCGACTAGTATATTATATAATGAGTTGCTAATTACGTGCTGGGACGCAGAAGGGTTTGCAAGTTGGTTGCTAGATGTTTCGGCAAACTTGTCCTCTATTGATCCCCCAGAAGGACAGGGGACTTACTTGGCAGGAGCTTCTGAGTAGGAAAATAGATGAGACTCACAGCCAGCAAAAGCTAATGAGAACTCAATTTGCAAAGATGCAAGAGAGACATCATGACATACCTTCACATCATCCAGGTTCCTCATGCCTCTCGCGGACGCGTCTTGGGATTGGATGCGCTGGTGAGGACCTCGTCGTTGTGCTACTCATGAGCAGCACCTTGGACTTCGGTCTCAGTCCAAGAAGGGATTGCTCTCATGGATTGACTGCAAGACCAACAAGCTCTGGGCGCACTGCTGCCTGCAATGTCACCTGCGTGAAGTCAAGACCCAACCAAACGATTGTTGGGTGCTTCTCAGGTGGAATTCCTCGGGCGCAACCTGTTGCCGTCCTCAGGCTTGAGATGTCAAACAGCAAGGATAGGCCAAGGCTCCAGGTTGATTGCTTCGAAAGCGTCATGAGATGTCATGAGGACTATTGAGGACTACTGGAATGGAGATTCACCACACATTCTGTTCGTCAAACTTGTCTTTGTCAGAAGCACTCCAAAAGTGACCGGCATTCGCAGGGAGCATGGCTTGAAGCAGAGGACATTGAAGAGGTGATGGGCTGGAATCACAAACGCTTCGCATGCACATGTTGACATAATACCATGCCTAGTTTGTTTCCGTTAGGAATTGACATCGATCTTTTCATGTATTAGAACTATATACTCATGTTCAGTGCCGGCACCCTTCATGACCCTGCATGTGTTCCCAGCAGGTGGACTTGTCTCCGGGGGCCCGTCGAACAATTTGAGTAGCTGAGACGTCGGAGCCATTGGCCAAATGTTTCAGGATCAAAATTGGATTTTGACATCGGAGCCGTTTTTCATCGGTGACGCACGGAGTTCCTCAGTCCTGAATTAGCACAAACATGTAATGTTGCATGAGACGAAAGCGATCGAAACGGCCTTGAGGAAAGGTACCACCGCAGCTTTTGCAAATGGCAGAAAGCTGTAGCTTTCAATTGAACGTAAGTCGCTACAATACTTCCGGAAGAGTCAACAGTAAAGACTTGGACTTTTAGAAAAATCAATTATATACAATGGAGGTAGTGGAAGCTTCAGAGATATTGCAGTACATACTAGTGCAATTACACGACATGTGTTTGTCCCCGCTTAAGAAGGTAGGTCTTAAGAAGGTAGGTCCTTGAGTTGAGGGTTGGAAAAGCTAGGAGTTGAAGTTGAACCTTGGTGCTGTGTGGCCATCATTTCCGACACTCATTTAGTTGCATAGACGCTGCCAAGCAGTGCACAATTTCAAGGGTCAACCGAGAGTTGCATCAGTTGAATATTCTGTCGATCTTCTGGATCTATGCAACATGCTGATAGGCATGTCCGAAACAATAAGATTATGAAGCCACGGTCCAAACCTGTTCGCATTCCTCTCGCTAGACATGGCTGGCGCTTGGCCCGTCGCCCACGACTTACACATCTCTCACTTTGGTTAAACCAAAGTGGTGGATGTTCATGGTAGATTCCGCAAGGGTGTGGAGAAAAATATGGTGGTTTCGAACAGCGGTTTTGGCAGTTGTAAAATCATGAATCATGGTGACCACTTTGCAATGTGTGAACATGGCCGACAGAGCGTAGGTGAGGCTATCGGAGAGTAATTGTATGTCTTCGTGTGCTTCAGCCATTAGCCTCAAAGTGTGTGATCTCAAAGTGTTAGTGTGTTACTAGTAGCGATGCCAGGAGCTACTAGTAGCTTCTTGTTCCTAGTAGTGTTCTCGGATCATCAGTGTTGAGTAGGAAGCACGTCTGGTCCTCAGGCACAGAGCTGTTATGAGCTGCTTCAAAGTCCAAGGAAAGTCCTGTCAGTGCCATGCATCCGTTTCTGTCAGAGGAGAGAGACTCAATTCGCTGCGAAGAATAGAGACCAATCTCCAACATCAGCAGTGCGATTCACAAGAAATCATTGCATTTGGTGAACTTCCTTAGAAGACAGGCATTCAGCAACCATTGAATCACAGTGGAGGGCGAAGAGCACTTTAGCCAGGGTTTCGGCTCAAAGCGCTTCAATGAGCATGGATACAGAGAGGCGGGCCATTTTCCTTGCTTTAGAGCATCACTTGCGGTTTGACACTGGGACAAGGTCTTACCTTGTGTTGCTGTGCACCCTGTACACCTTGTGCCTTGCAAGAGGTTGTGTCCGGAACTCTGAAACAATCCAAGGCTTGAAAGAGCGCGGAACAATTAATTTTCCAAATCTTAAGCCGGGAACTCGTTTTCCCAGACATGCAGGCATAAGATCCCTGCACTGCCCTTGAAGCACGACGTTCGGAAGTCCCTCGAAAGTGGGATTGCTGCGCTGCTAAGCGACTTGGTCCTTCCACCAGCATGGTTGGTGAAGCACCATGCCATTAATTATTATATCATATACATTCCCGGATTCCTCTGTATAATCTATGTTCTTATGACCTCATGAGTAAACACAACACTTTCCGCCTTTTCACCGTAGCATTGGGCTCGAAGGGGAATGCCCACTTGTTCATCCTGCCACAAGTGGTCGCTTTTGGCAGGCACCTGTTCGGTGTGCGTCTCTTCGACTCGGTTGATAGCGGCGGCCACTGGACCCCGACTCCCTGCTACTCAGGAGGCCCAGTTTAAAGTGACCAAGATATTGGACGGGGCATTTTATTCGATTGGACGCCTTCTACCTGAGGAAGATAGCCCCGAGAGGGGAGCCGCTGCTCCCAGTGAAGGAGCTGGGTCCGAGGAGAAGAAGAAGAAGGGAGAGGAGTCTCCCAAAAAGTCGGTTGAGACCAAAGAGGAGGCCGCGGAGACCGGACAGGGAGGCACACAGCCGAGTCGCAAGAGTGCAGGTGAGGAGACAGGCGTTTCGCCCTACTTGCAGGCCAAGGAGGAGCCAGAGAAGGGTACAAAGGGAGTTGAGGGATCTCCCAAAGCCACAGAAGAACGAAAGCCATTGCCAAGGAGAAGGGAAGAGGAGAAAGACACTAAGAAGAGATCAAGGTCACCCAAGCGCAGACAGGAGAAAGACAAAAGGAGGCGAAGGAGAGGAGATTCGCGGTCCGCTGAAGTGAGTGGATCAGAAGTGAGGAGACAGAAACGGGAGGCAGCAGACTCCCAGAAAGAGAAGAAGGAGCGTGCAGAAGAGGCAGAGACAAAGGAAACCCCCATTGTGCGTGAACCTTTTCTACGACCTAGGCCCACACAGAGGAGACCCAGGTCACCACACACTCCGGAGCGACCTCCACCGCAGCGATCATCAGGATCGAAAGGGGAAAGCAAAGGTAAGTCAAAGGGTTCTGGTTGGAGGGGCCGCGTGCCTTATTCAGACCACCCACGGTGGACCCAAGGAACCAACAAGGGGATTACAAAGAGAGCAAAGCAGGAACTTCAGGACAGAAAACATCGCGGCCGGGGAGGCCGCTACCATTGGTAAGGGAAGCAATGGCTCCCAAGGTACGACGACCAGCAGCCTCCGTTCCTCGAGTTCGACCTCGCCGACGACCAGCCGCTGGAGGGGAGGAAGACCTCCCAGTGGAGAAGCTCTACTCGTGGGCCGATCTCACGTTGGAAAGGCTACAGGGCCTGGATGTCATTGAGTTGGACAGAGCATCCTACTACAACGCTTCCGTGCATGTGGCTGGACGCGTGAGGGCTCTGCACCCAGCGGAGGGCCGGATGGAGTTTGTCCTCACTGGCACCCTAATCAGAACGCGTGATGGAGACGTTCGGAGGTGGAGAAGACCGGGCGGTGATGGTACACCTCTGCAAGGACGATTGCGCGCAGCTGGAAACTGGGTTGAAGCTTTTCCACGCCAGGGGGTTCTGGGATTGTGCAGTCTCCCCAAAGGAGTGGCAAATGAACCTCTCTGAGAAAGCCATCGCGGAGTTTGATGAGCTCTCTTCCTTGAGGAGACTGGCTGAGGAGCGAGGCAAGGGTAGGGGAGGGGACAAACCTCCCAAGGCCAAAGAGGCCGAGGACAAGGAGGCTGAGGTTGAGAAGAAGGTAGGGAAGGAGAGAGAAAAGAAGAAGAAGAAAGGAAAAGAGAGAAAAGCCGAGAAAGAGTGGGAAGATAAACTGGAGGCACTGGAGCGAGAGGAGACCCTGGAGCGGGGTCAGAAGACAGCCCGGGCAATCTTTAGTGGGACATGCCTGGACCCCAACGTCAGCCGCCGGAGGAGACTGATGAAGAAGGCTCGGGAGATGAAGACAAAGAAAGATAAGAAGCGGAAACGCTCCAGCAGTTCAGGAGATGAGGAGAGCAGCTCACCAGATGCTTCAGATGAGGACGAATCCGATGATGACGCACCGCTCTTCGAGGAGACGAGGAGAGTCAAGCGGCTTCACAACCGCTATCCAGGAGCTTTGACGATGCAGGCACTGGAGAATATGAGAGAGCATCTGATGACAGCAAGAGGAGACCTCTACAGCAGCTCAAGGGAGCAATTGGCTCCCATTTTTGCCATCTACACATATCAACACTTGAAGCCACTTGCGTCGCCAGTCCTCTGGCAAGAGATGAACACCATAGCCCAGGCGAGCGATCTCATCATCCGGCGCAAGATTGCCAGTGCGCTGGATATCTTAGTCCAGAGGGCTAAGTCCCTTGAGGCCACCCTCAAGGGGGGGCACTACACCGTCTCTCGGCAGCTTGAACTTGTCGGGGCCGACCAGGTGGCCATGGCAGAGGCTGGCGAGAACTATGAGGCGGCGAAGCACGCCCGTGAGGACTTCAGGAACAAGTCGATGGGGAGCAAGCCCCACGGGATGGGGAGGAAAGGCGACACAGAAGGAAAGAGTCGAGGTAAAGCTGTTCCATCTTCAGAGCCGGCCTACAGGGACAAAGGAGAGAAAGGAAGAAAGGGCAAAAACAAATGGGAAAAGAAAGGAAAAACAGAAGGTTAGAGGCCGGGAAGACTGAAGAGGGAACAGCAAAAGGGTCAGAGGAGTCGACAGGAGTTGACAGAGAAAAGTCGCCAAGTAGAGGTAGAAAGATGAAGCTAAGGTTGCAATGGCAGGAGAAAGGAATTAAGGCAGGTGTGGCAAGATTAGAGGCTGAGGATGAGCAGGCTATTGAGGAGCTGCTGCGAGAGTGCAAAGAGAAAGCAAAGACTTATGAGCCTGGGGGAGCAACTACTGTCAAAAAAAGTCCAGGGTTGGCTCCGGGCCGGGCAAGCCGTGCAGAGGCTGAAGAGGGGAGGGACTGCTCAGGCACCTCCCAGTTTGAGGATTCAGATGCAAGGGAGACAGGCGTGGGCCGTCTCCCAACGCAGATGAGGAATCGAGCTGAGGATCGTCCTGACAGTCCGCAGCAGATGGAAGGGGAGCAGAAGAGGAGCTCCCAGTATGAGGAGAGAGTTTTTGGGCGACAGCATTTGAAGAGGTGCCGCCCGGATCTTGAGGAGTTCGAGAATTTATCTACGTCGGGTCCTCGACTGGCTTTGACGCCGTGCCGAGGGGTGCAACCCGGGCCCAGTGTTACCCCATTTTGGGGCAGCGGAGTGTCAGAGCACAAGGTGGACGACTTTGATAGACTACGCCTGTTGCTCAAAAACAAGTGCCAGAATGATTCAGCAGTCGTGGGAGATGTGGGAGAAATCTTAGCCAAACTGATGGAAGCGTTTGAACTGCATGTGAACACGCGTTGTGGACAGTCCTCGGAGGGAATCTTTCCCCTCCCCCTTCCATCAGATCTAGGATTTTGCGGTCACCACATCCCTTTCCTTGAGGCAATGGTTCGTGGGCTGAACTTGCTTGCTGGGTCAAGAAGCCGTTCCAAGGGTAAAGCTAGGAAAGTGAGTCGTGAGCTGGTGCATCATCTGGAGAAGGTTCTTGCGGAGTGCACTCTATTGGGGCAAAAGTGGGACCATCTTCCTTTTCAGCAGTTCTTTCGGGCGAGGACTCTAGATTATTCAGGTGAGGAGGTCAAGGTCGCCCGTCGGTTCACTTGGCAGATGGTGGAAGCCGCACTACCCCAGGGTGTAGGAAGTCTGAGGTTGACAGATTTCTGCGATCAAGGGACCCTCGAGTACGTGGTCAGTTTCGAGAAGTGTCTACTCCCGCCTCAGGATCAATTCATTGGCAAAGCTCCAGCGATCATGGTGGACCACAGCGACTGGGCCGAGGTCTGCCGTGGGTTGGTTGCACGGGGAGTTTGTGGGCTCATGAAGCGGGAGCAGCTGCGCCATGTTTGTGGACGCCCCTTGATGAACGGCTTGTTTGCCGTTGAAAAAGGGGAGAAAGGGACCGGACCTGACGGGGTTGAGTTTGATGTTTGTCGTTTGATCATGAATTTGGTCCCCACAAACTCTCTCTGCCGTAATCTCGTTGGAGACACATGCACTTTGCCAACAGTGGTGGGGTTGTCTTCTATCATCCTTGAAGATGACCAGCTGCTCCTGACCTCGTCTGAAGATATACGGTGTTTCTTTTACCTTTTTCAGACCCCTCAGTCATGGTGGCGGTACATGGGTTTTGCAAGGGAGGTGCCCTCAGAGGCACTCCCAGCGGGGCACGACGGAGATGGGTGGCACCTCGTCACCAAAGTCTTGCCGATGGGGTTTGTGAACTCTGTCGCGATAGCACAACACATACATCGGCGTGTCATTTCGCAAGCACTGCATGTTGATAGGAGTTTGGCCACCAGGCACCAGGAGATCAGGCGAGACCGCACGAGCAGCAGAGCTGACCATCTGTTCCGGGTGTACCTCGACAATTTCGATGAGTTGCGAAAGGTGGACCGGAAGGTTGCTGGTTTGATTGAGGGCACCCCCTCCGATTGGACGTTGGCCATTCGGGAGACCTATACCACCTTGGGACTACCACGACATCCGAAGAAAGCAGTGGAGCAAGCAAGTGGAGCTGAGGTGCAAGGAGCATGGGTTGACGGGAGCAAAGGCACGGCCGCTCCCAAGTATTCCAAGGTGGCGCGATATTTGGGCTTGGCGTGTGAGGCGGTTATTTCAGGGAAGGCGACCATGAGAGAGCTGCAGGTGATAGGCGGAGGCTTCGTTTACATTGCCATGTTCAGGCGGCCGTTGCTCTCTGGGCTAAACGCAATCTGGAGGAAGATCACCAGCCTAAAAGAGCTGGGTAGCCACGTCAGGCAGCCGTTGGGGAAGGAAGTGGAGCTTGAGCTTATCCGGTTCATTTCACTCAGTCCTCTGGCATTTATGAATTTTAGACTCCCAGTGTCTGAACATGTGACGGCAAGCGATGCTTCCACAACTGGTGGCGGGTTGTGCGTATCGAGGGGAGTCAGCCCTTATGGATTGGCCGCGTCACAGGCCGAGGCTCGGGGGGATGTTCTGAGCCCAGATGAGATGGACCAGGTCTTGGTGGTCTCCTTGTTTGGCGGGATAGGTGCCCTGAGAGTGGCTTTGGACTGCTTGCGGGTCCCCGTAGCAGGTTACATATCAGTGGAGATTGACGATGCTGCCTGTAGAGTTGTCGAGTCCTTCTTTCCTGACGTGATCCGGGTCCAGGATGTCGCGCTGGTTGATCTAGAGATGGTTGCCGAATGGTCACTGAGGTTCGCATCAGTCTCCATGGTGATTTTGGGCGCAGGACCGCCATGTCAAGGCGTGTCGGGACTCAACGCAGACCGTAAGGGCGCAATGCGGGATGCCAGGTCCTGCTTATTCCAAGAAATCCCCCGTATAGAGGCTCTGATTAAACAGGTGTTCCGCTGGTGTCCTACTTACCGGTTGATTGAGAACGTGGCCTCGATGGACAAACATGATTGTGAGGCGATGAACGGCGCCTACCATATGGAACCCTGGCTTGTCGACGCTGGGGGGATCTCTTTGGCCAGGCGACCCCGCCTTTACTGGTGTGATTGGGATATTCTACCACAAGATGCAACATTGTGGAGGGGAATGCCCGGGGGCTCCCAGTGCGAGGACACATACTTCTCAGCGCAGAGGTCCTTCCCGATGACTTCCTTGAAGCAGGGTGGAAACGGGTGAGTGCAGATGGTTGCTTCCCAACGTTCACCACGGCCAGGCCGTCCCTGAAGCCAGGGCGTAAGCCGGCCGGATTGACACTATGCCCTCCGGACGCGGTTGCTCGTTGGAAAGCCGACGCCCACAGGTTCCCACCATACCAGTACCGTGCAGAGAATTGCGTTACAAACGCCAGGGGTGATCTGAGAGTGCCATCTACCCGTGAACGTGAGGTCATCTTGGGGTTTCCCCTGGATTATACTCGCCGTTGCATGGTCAAGGGGAAGGAAGGAAGTTCGGAGCACAATGACTGTCGACTGCGGTTGCTAGGGAATTCTTGGTCGGTCCCCGTGGTCTGTGTCTTGCTTTACTCCTTGTTACGCTTGTTGGGTTGGATGCCGCGGCTGAGTATCCAGGACATTGTGAATCGGTTGGTTCCAGGTTCCTCTACTGACCTCGCTGGATTGTTGTTGCGTGCGCCCATTCGCCATGATACGCGGGTGACGCAGCCAGGGCCAGGCCTTGTACGCAAGCTATTGGGGCAGGTCTTCGTCAAAGGGGAGGATATTCTGCTACAGATGGGTTCGGACATTCCAACGCGATATCATCGGCTACGGGCTTCCCTCCCAAGCAAGTTGTGGCGCTGGCGCGATGTCATTGGTTGGAGGTGGACTGGTGATCCTGAACACATCAACGCTCTGGAACTCAGAGCGGTAAAGACTAGTCTGATTTGGCGTATTCAAGAGCTTCATGAAGGGCCCGTGCGATTTGTGCACCTTGTCGATTCCTTGGTGGTGTTGCATGCCCTCTCCCGAGGAAGGTCGTCTAGTCGGAAACTCCGGCGGACCCTGGCAAAGATTGGCGCGTTGTTGTTGGCAAGCGGCTCAGTGGGTGCGTGGTCCTATGTGGATACGCACCAAAACCCAGCAGACCGCCCTTCGCGGCGGCCCATTCGTCGAAAATGGGTAAGAAGGGTGCAAAAGTAATGGAAGGCCGTAGTCAACAACAACGCATCAAAGTCAGGAAACAGCTTGGAAGCTTGAAGGGCTTGACAGTACAACCTCGGACACGTGAACGCTATCAGACTTGTCTTGACAGATTTATTGATTGGCTGGCAGGGGAGGGTCTCACTCTCCCAAAGCGGGCTCAGGCCATGGACCATGTTGTCTCTGACTACCTTGAATTCCTTTGGGCAACAGGTGAGAGCAAATCCGTGGCGAACAATACCCTTGCTGCCTTACGCCGACTTACCGGTAGCTGGCGGTTGTTGAAGGCATGGTCCACTGCAGAGGTCCCTCGAAGAGCTCCTCCCATGACTCTTCTGGTCTTGGATGCTATGTGCGGGCGGTTCATCATGAAGGAGTTGCCCCTTATTGCCTTGTCTTTACGCGTAGCGTTCTTTGGCTTGCTGCGCACGGGAGAGCTGTTGAACTTACAAGCAAAGGATATTTTTATTCCTTCTCCCAAAGGTCCTGCTGTACTGTCGCTAGGTTTGACCAAGGCAGGCGCTCGCCAAGGAGCAGCCGAGAGCATCGCCCTGCATGAAGAGTCTGTACTAGGGGCCCTGTACCGCTGGAAGCAGCGAGCTCGTGGCACGGAATTTTTAACTCCTAAGCCACATGCCTGGCGTACTCTGTTCAGCAATGCCCTGGAGGCATTGCGTTTGACACCCTTGGAATTCAGACCCTACAGCCTCAGACGAGGTGGGACTACGTTTTGGTTTAACCAACACGGATCATTCGATCGACTGCTAGTCCAGGGGCGGTGGGCCGCCTCCAAAACCGCCCGTATTTACCTCAACGACGGATTAGCACAGCTGGCAGATATGACACTCCCGAATTCGTCACTGCATGTTTATGTAAAGTTGTTCCGCTCTACCCCAATGCTTGAGCCTGGGAAGTCGTGTACGCTTCCCAGGGCAGGGGGACGTGGAAAACGCACAGTTCGAAAATGAGAGTGGGGAGTCTTTTTGCGTTTTTCATCCCATAAACCTCTAAGATGGAGTGCTCTGGAGGTTTCCTCTC